AATATTTTATCTTTTCCCCCCTACCCCCTACCCCCGGGCACCAACCTTGGGCTGGGAACGCGCAAAGCGTATGAAGGTATGATTGTACATGTAGGCTTAGCCGGTCACGATCAACTGTGTGCTCAGTAAAGGGAGGGACAAGAGGATTTATGGTTGTTCCCATTGTTGCCCTGCGATCATGAATCCATAACATAATTCCGTCGTAAGATTTCTTGGGCGGTCTCTCGATACCCCTTCCTGTTGTGGTCCGGCCGTAAGTTAACGAGGCCGGGTATCCCGGTTTAGGACTCAGCGGAATAATGGGTCCAAATGGCGGCTCGACCCCGGAGCCGGCTGTACTAAGTACCCCGCCGGGCCCATCACGGCTCCGTGGAAGATCGGAGCGAGGAAATGTCCCACCACGGCATTTACTTCTTCAATGCGTAGCATACATCGTATCTATTGAGGCGTGGAGAGGAAAATCCGCCGACAAACCTTTGATGTATTCAAGAGACCCAGTCAGCTTATACTATTAAGCGCTACAATTCGCCTTGCTAGCAGCTCCTTAACTTCGTTCCGTGACGAAGAGCCACAAGTTATTTACCGTAACGAACCTCTACACCCATAGTTGCTCCGATGAACCCTCTCCAAGGTTTCCGCGATGTTATTTTTGAACAGGATAACCGACTGGAAAGCCTCGGGAAAGCAGAGTATGTTATCAAGTGTTCCTCTGAAACTCTACCACTGTCCATTTGATTCGAGTTAGCATGTAGACCTGCACACCAAGTGAGCGAGGCCGCCGATGATTAGGGAGTCGACATGAGAACGGTTCCTGCATCATCTGAGTGACATTCGCCTTTCTACGTGCCAACTCGAAGGGGCATTGATGGCTGCTACTTAGGACATACTCGGAACAAAGGCTGATGGAAGACAGTCGCAAATGGCCTATCCTCGAGGCGCCTCTGACCTAGGATGCAGTGCGACACGCCACATCGTCCTTAATAAGTATTGCATTTTCGAGGAGTCTCTCCATCATCACCCGTTGATATTCCACACGGCCTCGGTCTCTTAACGCGGGTACGTTCTTCGACATTTCCAGTTCCTCCCCGCTAAAGCCTGTAACCCGCTCCGTCTCGTATCTTCTAGATTCACCTAGCCTCAGTCGACACTCATACTCCGAGACGAATAGCCACAGTACTCTAATTAGCTAGCATGCTGAAGGTCTTTCTCCTCATCAACGTTCCTGCAGTGATGTAGGCCCTTAATTGCCTAGTTAAATCGAAAGCATTTCTCCAGTCTCGAGTTCGTGCCCTAGGTCCCAGTTAACAGCCTAGCTTCAGTATTGATGACTATATTGATTCCCTCACCAGAAGATCCTTGACCTTAGTTATGGCTCTCACAACATGGTCGTCGATATAGCAACGGCATACACCCATTCCTCCAAACCATCGCCGCAGCGTTCCAAGCCCGAAGCCCCTTTCCCGTCGATAAGCACATCTTCGCCGGCAAGTTTCCCTACGTTGGTCGCGTTCTAGTATTCCAACGGGGGGTCTTTTCACGCCTCTACCAACAGAAGCGAAAGCTAGGCCTAGTTGAGATTTAGTTCCAAGAACTGGGGCTTGGCAGCATTGATTCTATTTTCTTATTCTGGTCGTCGTTGCGCGGCATCAGATATCTTCATCTTGTTCTATCTGCTGGCGTCTCGAGAGTGATGAATTCGCTTCGGTTTTCGGCCTTCCGAAAACGTCTCACAGTTATGCAAGCTATCGATGAGGTGAGTGAACTCAAACGATGCAAGGAGGACGTGATAAAAGCGAGGAGATACAGAACGCTAGATGCCGGGAATATGCCAGTAGGCATGGATCTTGTCATGGTCCCCCTTGATGAGTATTCTAGCGCTTGAACTCATCTCACCTGGCCACACGCCCCGACGTGGAAAGGGAGAAAGCGGTGACGGGAGACTTACGACCTAGCAGCGGAAAGCCTCTGTGTCCGGAGTGTAATGGAGGCAGGACACTTCAAGCCAGCACTCCTGGACGAATAGCCCAGAAGCGACTCCAAGAGGAGGGAGAGAGTAGCAATTACAGATACGAGGTGTAGTGACACCACCACCACTCGTTTAAGTCGGTCCGGATATTGTGATCGTATTCATCAATACACCCCATATGTACATGGGGGTAGCAAAGCCACAGAATGCCTTCATTTCGGCCTAGCTGGACGTAGTTCCCACGGTCAGAGTGTCATGGCACTACCTGAGACCCGTAAAACTAAAACTTCAGATATCCCCAGAAATCCAGCGTGTCTCTAGTTCAAAGTGATCATGAAAAGTCATAAACCATAAGCGTCTCCCTCCCACTCTTCGCCTCCTTCAATACAATGACCATTTCGTCATCAAAGCCAACCCAGCTCCGGCGATCATCCCACTCTTCGTGAGATGGCAGCCTCCGTGGATCCTGTGCAGAGGCTCCTAGACTTGGTCGAATTTCCACGCTTCTACCGCCAGACCGACCCTCGAGCTCCCAAACGCGTATTTCGTCGCCGTGGCAGCTGACGCTGACGGCCTTGCCTCGAGACGTTATTTCAGCGTCGCCAATACCAGACGTGTGGCCCCAGAGGCGGATACCACGGGATATGGACAACCCGGCAGCGTTCGTCGTGCAAAGATAGAGAATAAGAGTGTTGTCGGGTTGTGTCGCAAGGAGATACGGGTGTGTATAACACAAAGCTGTAGGTCCGGACACCTCGTCTGCTGATGAATCCCCGACATCATTCTCGCCTGAAGAATCTATAACCTCGGAAGCGGCGTTGCTCGGCTGCGTTCTCGCCGGGCGGCGGCCCGTGATCACAGGAGGAGCATGTGCAAGCCGTGATTCAAAAACCTCGGGAACTGCTTTTAATCGAGCTCGGTTTATCTTGACATGCAGCTCTTGAATGCCTATAGTCCAACCTTCTCGAGTAGGCAAGGTGTAGGCGATGGAGGCGATAGTAGATGTCGACGTTTTCCTAATCGACAAAGCAAGAGGTGCTTTAGAGGAGTGTGACTTCAGCGACGTGATAAGGTATGGCGCAGCCACGCCCAAGCTCTCAGCGGTATCTTCACTTTCATTTTCCTGATTATCAATGGCGGCTCCGGAGGACTTCCGTAAAGAAGCGTCGAGCATTTCCGACAAGGTGAGAGGGTTTCTTGATACCTCAATCTCCCCGGCCGCGTTGTCCGCCGGTGCAGCCTCGCGGAAGACGTACAAGGATACAAGGACGCGGTTCGTAGCGGTCATCAAGTAAGGACACGAGTATGCCACCGATATGAGCCTGCCATTAGTTGACTTGGGGTGGCGGTATCGTTTCGACATCTTGCCTTCCGCAAGTTCCAGAACCCATACGCCGAAGCTTCCGTCAAGGAAGCCTAACGCAATCTCAAGCCTCTTCTCGTCCAGGTGCTGGTCATCGACGGCTATGCAGGTGGGCTCGGAAGCGAAATCGGCGTCGTGGAGATCGATTTGGGCGAGCAGCTTCTTCGATTTCAAGTCCCACGCACGAAGGCCGGCGGCCGATTCGGCCGTAATAACAACTCCATCGAGGACTTTTGCGAGAGTACGTTTCCTTCTTAAATGACTTTCTCCCAATCCATCGATGCCAACGTCCAGCTCCTCCACTGCGCACTTCCCTCTCGACCAGTTATGCCGTAGCTTGTATTGGCGCTTCCAGTCAACGAACAAGCCGTCGCCCTGCGCCCGGGACTTGCGAAGCTCGACGCCACTATATCGAAGTACGGTTCGACTGCTAGCGGCGCCGTCGTGGGTGAGGCTGGGTCGGAAGCCGGGGATTCGCATGGCGCGCGGAAGAACAAAATGGAGATAATAGAGCTGGCGCCATAGTTGAGAATCGGAAGAAAGTCTGTGGAAGCGGCGAGAGACGGGGGAGACGCTGAGGAGGTTAGAGAGTGGCAGGAAGGAAAGGATGCGGAGGAGAAGCTCGTCGGATAAGGAAGAGAGGAAGTCCCGGGATGGTGCGGCGAAACATGTTGCGCAGGTAAGCGAGCTATCTTCAGAGGGCTCGAGCTCAAGCCTACGTCGTTTCGCGGAGGACTTTTGAACAGATATGTCGGGTTGTAGAGACCCGAAGCGCCGTTTCGTGGGCATCTCGAATGATAGCGCCACGGCGGGTGGCCAACAAGGTGATATGGTAATAATCAAGAATACAGCCGGGTCATTTGAAGTTGGAGAACAGTGATATATTGAGGATATGGGTGGAAGTGTGCTCGAGGACAAAACTGGTGCCTCGAGCAGAGATGCGCGCAATCAAGCTTGCCCCTCTACAGTTCACGCCAACCACTGCAACCACTTTCCCCAAATTTGCCATCTGTTAGCGCGGCCTTCATTAGCGGTCTTGCACATTGAGTCAGCAGGAGGGTCGCAGTGGTTATTCAGCGTCACCACGGGATCCCTTGACTTTGAGTACACGGCGAAGTACACTTTTGTACCATTCCTGCTATTAAATAATTGTGGAAGGAGCCATTGTTGTATTGACTAGATAGGAAGGAATTGGCCCTTCGCTGCCTTCCGTTTTATGTTGGAAAGAGTGGGCCAATTCCATGGAAATTATCCTAGTAATTTCTTCCTTGCCGAAACAGTTCCTACGTCACAAACCCTAGCCGAAACCAGTTCCCATTTCCAAAACGTTTTCCTTTCTATGGTGTGACCTTGGTGCGACTTCGGAAGACCCTCTGCCGTCTAAAAAGGCCTGTTTTACAGTGACATTTTGGGAATTCCGTGACATCCGACGGTATTGGATTGTCCGATCAGGTCCGAGCTAAGTTTTGTTTCCATATCCCTGCAAATATTCCAACACCTGCTTCACCATCGCCGTCAATCGACGCTTTCTCAAATCTCACCTCAACTTCTATCACAGGCTCCACGACGTCGCTGAATTGAGCACCTTTCATCTCGATGCCCGAGATCTGCCACGAGAAAAGGGAAAAGGAATAGGAAAAGTAAGAGGAGGGGAAGAAAGAATTTATCAATATGGCACCTGTACGTAATTCCAACCTCCTTCCATGGCATATCACATATATGGTATACTCACCCCCTCTGGGATACTTTTTGTCCCTTTTCTTGGATTAGCGTCATCAAACTCTCCCAGCACCTCAGACCTCGTCAGCCAGGGAGGCCCGGCAGGCGTTCTATTGCAATCTCTGCTCCAAGGGCTACTCGCGAATGAATGACTATGAGGCCCACCTTAGCAGCTATGACCATACCCACAAACAGCGCCTCAAAGACATGAAGGCAATGGTGAAAGATCCCAGTGCCGGGGCCCGCGCTAGGAAGGCGGAGGCCAAGGCCGACGGCATCATCAGCCTGAAGCTCACAGGGACTGAAACGAGCAACAACTCCGGCGGAGGCTTCAAGAAAGGTGGCTTTAAGAAGTCGGGCTTCAAGTCTGCGTTCGGGTCCTCTACGGCCCCGGCGAACCCGGCAAGCATCTCTGCGCCCGGAAGCTCAGGTCCTGCCTCTCTGGTTGGACGGTTTTCGACTGAAGGTGGCAAGGAAGCAGCTACCAGGGAGACCCGAGACCTCGATATTTCAGCAGACACTGACTCGGAAGACGAAGGCTATGAGAGATATGACCCGAGACATCCAACGGACTGATTCTCTGGTGGCAGTTTGCTATTCCTAACATCGCATCCTCGCCTCCGTCGTCTCTGGGCTGCTTCCGCCAGGGTTCCTCTAGCGTTTGGAGATCTTCCATTACCCGTCCTGTCTCTAGGGCCCATGCCTCACCGTTTCGCCAACTCGTATCCCTTAATCTGGCGTATCCAAGTCAGGGGGCTCCCTGATCGCCTGGGTACATATTTTCCACCGACGAACCAATCACCCAAGCGTGCCGCGAAAGAAAGGTCGCTCAAGTCGGAAGCTCTCCTGATACTGCAGCATTGTATATCTATGTACATGTTTCCCCGCCCTCCGACAGATATGAACTGCAAGCACTCATGGGATTGCTACCAATGCCTGGCCCTAGCAATCTCGGGGGCGGCTCTATCATAGCCCAATCTGGCAGAATTCGGCTGCCCGAGAGGCAAGTTGCCGTGGTAGTCACGCTCTTGGAGCCGTCGACGGAAGAGACGACCTCCGCACAAGGTTGGCAAGAGTCCATGTCTTGAATGGCAGCAAACCAAGGAGTTCATGAGATCGAGAAAAAGGTTTCAGGAATAGAGGCAACTATCCCTAGATATAATGTCTATGTTATCTCTCAACGTGTAGTTGGAGACATGGTTGATTCCTAGGCGCGGCGTCGAGATTTCTGCGATACATCTCATGCACAGCACGCGCGGTTCTTTCTCCCAATCTCTTCGACATTACTAGATGCGCATTCCAGTTGACGACGAAATCAAGGCTGGCGCGAACGATGCTAGATTTATCAATAGATCGGGACATACGCTCGGTCTAATAGCGTGCTTTACATCATCTCTTATGAAAGACTGTAGAATCCATAAAGGAGAGACCGAAAACAGCGAAGCCACGTATTTTTATATTTTATGAAGATGGTTTGATTCATAGGTTGGTTTTGTATGCATTGTATAGCGGCATGCGAAATTATCTTTACCCTTCTCTTTGCATATCAAGTTCCTTGTACGAAGTATATCTCAAACAGTTTCTGCGCGAGCCTCTAAACTGCCGATTTCTTAGCCAATAGCCGCGTGGTAAATTTGGCTGACGTTCACTGGACCTTTGTAGGGCTGCCCAATGACAAATTACTGCTTCGTAGGGGGTTCCAGTGTCAACAGTTCAATAATTGATCGGTTACCCCAGTATCAATCTGCCGCTAGACACCCCAACGTTCGTCTCCACTCCCCTAAACTTACCACTGATTGACTCAACGATCCTATACCTCTTTACAAAGTACATGACAGTGCACGAGTCCCGAGGCGAATGTTGAAACCGCCGCTCCTGCGACGTCGATCGATTGATTAAATCGCGTCAATTCAATCCTGGGTCTACAAAGTACGAATGTTGACTCCCACCCGCTGTTTATGTCTTCACCCAACCCACAGCTAGCTTTATCCTGTCCGAAAGACTGGCCATGGACACGGCGTCGCTCCACGCCAAAGCCTCGCAGGAGACCCTCGCCTCCCTTCTCCAGCTCGACCCCACCCCGATTGATCCCGAGGCTCCTCCTCCCGCCTTCGAGAAGCCATTGCCCTCCTTACCTAAAGACTCTCCCGAACCCAGGCCGAGATCTGCCTCTACTTCTACATATCCGATGACCATGGAGGGAGAACTGCCGACCCCGCATCGCGGTAGCCCAAGTCCCATCTTCCTTCGTATGAACTCCTAAGATCCCCCAACAGAGCCGCGCTGGCCTCGAAACCCTCGAGTCCTCGGTCAGCGCTCGCCTATGCCCCGCTCGTCAATCGGAAAGTGGTGGAAGAGTTTGGGCTAACCAGCCGTATCTAGTCTCCCGTGTTCAGCGGTATTCTTCTATTACGCTCTCCATCTTCACCTCGATTCATCTCGCCAACACCTCTTTAATACCTCTGTTCACCCGCTCCGTCCCTGCCTCCGAGACCTACCTCCTCCAGGCCCGCGAAATCTACCAAACAACCCTCTCGGAACCTCTCCTAATCGGCATTCCCGTACTTGCCCATATCGCCGCAGGCACCGCCCTCCGATTCCTCCGGCGCTCCCATAATCTCCGCCGCTACGCCGCCAACGCCGCCTCCGTATCAACAGGCAAATATCCGCCTCCTGTCCCGACACTCCGGATATGGCCGCACTTCAGCTACATTAGCGCGTCGGGCTACGTCTTTACTGCCTTCTTCGCCGCGCATGTAGCCGTCAACCGCATCCTCCCACTCGTGGTAGAGGGCGACAGCTCCAATATCGGCCTTGCCTTCGTCGCTCATGGATTTGCACGCCATACTGCCCTTTCTACCTTGTCTTACGTTGGCCTCCTCACCGTCGGCTGCGGGCACATGGTCTGGGGTGCAGCTAAGTGGCTTGGCATCGCCCCCGATACATCCGAATGGACACAGAGGAATGGTTCAAGGGTGGTTCCTAAAGGTCGTCGAAGAGCTTGGTTCGGTGTCCACGGCGTATCTGCCGCCTTCGCCTTGCTTTGGGCTGCTGGTGGTCTAGGTGTAGTCGCCAGAGGTGGCCTCACATCGGGCTGGATAGGCACTTTATACGACAACCTCTACGCGCACGTGGCATTTTAATGCGCTTCTTTGCCCATTTCCCTTTTACCGTTTCCCCGTCTTTCTATCCTTACCTGTCGGGCCCAGCAAACAATGCAAAGCCGTGGGAAGTGTGTAAACACACACATATATACATATAGATTTCTGCATATGGAAGCGATGTTTAAATGGTAGATTATGTGTTTCGTTATGAAAGATGCTTTGCTATTGTCTGTCCGATGCCATCTCCATCCACTCCTGTTGCGGGATGGTTTTCCGTCTTGTATCGGGCCTCACTCACTTCGCCAGGGCTTGGCGGGATCTGCCTCTCGCGAAGGCACCCTAGGTTGGCTGAACCCTCCTTTCTCTCTCTTCTGTTCCTTTCTAGTCTGATCCAAGTTTGAACGCTGTGGTCGAACGAAGTATTGTTCAGAGTCATGGAGTGAATCCACACTTCTGGCATTGCACGAAGGAATAGGGGGGCGAGGAAGACCACAATATCTCACAGATACATTATATTTGGGGCACGTCTCCGGGGTAATGGGAAGTTGGGAGACACGCCTGGTAATTGATGCTCTGGAATTGTACAATTCCCACTGTTTATCCGTCCTATGTTCTGGAGAAGTCCTCGACAACAGAGTGCATTCTTCCTCCTCAGCAAGAATTACCTAGCCGTCTTTCGTGAAATGATACTGCGACTTCTTCCCTCGTTCCCTAGCACACAGCCAGCCCCCTGTAGGAGTGCCTACCCTCCAAATTTTAATCGTCTGTATCGCGAGAGGGGACGAGCCAAAACGAAGCACACCCTCCGAAGTGCCCTATCCTCCCTGTGAAATGCGCAGTCTCCTATGGAGCGAGCCTCAGAAGGTAGATGGATTTATTTGCTCATCTCATGCAATGATCCCTAGTTGCTTCTTTCACCAGATGTGTCCTGCTTCCCTGGAAACACTGCCGGTTTAACCCATGTGCCGGAGATTTCCTCGGCGGAGCTTCTGCTCCCGTCATGTACTTATGGCCATGTCCGACTTTCTCCTTCTCGAGCAGGCTCTTGGGTCTCTTCCCGCATCTGAGCATGGACCTCCGCCGGCAAAGTTCTCAGGTTTATCATCAACTTTGTTAAACAAAATCGAGGGTCGTCCATGGGGGCATGTCTTGTTTGGATGGTTTCCTCCATACCCGGTTATAACAGTGCAATCCGGGCCGGGCCGCGTCGAGGGGATGAACAGCCAGGCATTGCATTCACTGGCAGCCTCGTAACAGTACACGCAGCATTTCTGGGCACTGCCTACGGCCTCTAATTCAAAGTCCCATCCCTGGCCGTCTCTGATGCCAACCCAGTCAACACTGGGGACGTAATTCTCCTTACTGCAGCCTGATGATCCACTCGGCTGTGAATTCTTCATGTTAGCAACTCTAGATGTCCAAATGGCGAATCCAGACTTACCTGAGAATCCGGCGGAACTGCTGAACCCGTAACTGATTGGGAAGCCCCGGTATTTGTGACGAGAGGAGGACCTTCACTTGTTGTCGAGGCGTTCGTGGCGTCCACCCTGCCCCGGACCAAGGGGACACTGATGCCAACGGCTATGGCTATGCAAATAAAGATTCCCAGGCCAATCCAAGGCATCGCCTTTCGGCTACCTAGTTTGCGTAGTATGCCGGCAGGGGTGGAGGACCAGGTGACTTGGGTGGCTTGGGTGACGGCGCCTTCTCCTGCACTAGCCTGGGCGGAAGGCCTTACAGGAGCCGCATCCGGCTCAATGAGAACCGCAACCTCGAGACCGCTCTCGATCGAAACTTGCGGGGCGGTATTTGGTTCGAATTCAGCCCAGAGGTGCTGATCTTGCGGGTTCTCGGCGTTCTCTTCGCCCATACTGCTCTATGGCAATGTATTTCTAGCTGATAGGCCACGATGAGTAGGTAACCTGTCTCCTCCCTGCTGTGATTGTTCTTTTATCGAGAGCAGTGTGCACACCGAGCTCTTTTATTCCCGTTAGTAGGGATTGGGCCGGTACAATAGCTTGAGGAGGATAGGACTGATAGCGGCTATCAGAAAAACGAAAACCGCAAAGTTCTAGAAAGCAGGCTTGATGATGTTAGCAATCAAGACTGCCGTTGGCATTATCAACTCACATCAAGAGTCTGGTGGTAGGCAATCAGCTGGCTGTCTTAAGCTTCTTGTTAGGCAAGAGGATCTTGAACCTAGACCCAGGGAAGCAGATACGTTGTTTTTGCAGCTCCTGTCTGAATTCGCGACTGGAGCAAGAGACCATTAGCCCACGAAATAGGTGATCATAGCCCCAGAATGCCTCCCGCTACCACTCCTTTTGCCTCGGACAGCTCATGATTCAGAGGATGGAACATAATGGATACAACCCATTCATATAGAAAACCAGTAGGAAAAACAATCAACAAATCTGGGTTGGGCCCAAAGATTCTTTCGACCTCCTCGCCCAAAGTCCATGCTCGATCTAGGTAGAAGCCAACATCCGACATGCGACGAAACTGAGTAGATTGGAAAGGGTAGCTTCGTTTGACTGAAGTAGCAGCTGAAGCCTTGTATTCTCGGTCCAGTTGGTTCCTCGACCTTGGCTCTCAGACCTCCGATAAAACCACGACAATGGCGAGGGGATATTCATCGCAGGATTAAAAGAACAGTGCTCACGAATCTTCTTTTAACGGTCCCTAGGATTGATACTTGACTTATAATGCTGCTCCTACTATGCCTCAAATATCTGGATCGTAAGATATGCAAACGGGCATAACCTGAAGCAATCAGGCGGAAGAAAACCTAGTCTGGTTTGTTCAAGAGCCAAGGGCCTTGATATCCGCAGCCACCAACTTCCCATCGCCCTGTAACCTTCCTATTTCATCCTGCCAGACGGTCTTAATCTCATCCGCGAGCTTAAGGCCATTCAGCTTGCCGGCCAAGGCAGCTATGCCTTCGTTGTCAAGCTTCGACTGAACGAGCTCAACATCCGCAAGGACACTATCGATTGTGGATGCGCTCGGCTCGCCACTGACAAAGTAGTTGGCATCTTTGACGGAGCCCTTAAGAACTCGCTTGTTCTTCTTGGCGGCATTCTTGGCAGCTTCCTTTGCCTTCTTCGCCGCCTCGCGGTCGGCCTTCGCTGTTTCCTCGGCAGCCTTGGCAGCCCTCTCCTCCTCCTCCTTCTTCAACCTAGCCTCCTCCTTCGCGCGACGCTCGGCCTCTTCTTTTTCCAGCCTCTTCTTGTTCTTCGCGGCGTTTGCTTCCTTGCGGAAACGCTTGATCCGCTCATCCGCGGCTGAACAATCGTCTAGAAGCTTTCGCAAACGGGCATTGTCCTCAGCCTTCTTCTTCTTGCGTGCATTCGCATTCTTACGTTCCATGTGGCGCTTCTGGTCACGGTTCTCGTTGTCGTCGGGAACATCCTCGTCGAGATACTCGAAAGACCTCCAGCTGTCGAAGTTGTACCAGAAATTATAGAAGTTCTCAACCTCGTCCTTCGTCGATTTCTCATCACCGAAAGTTGGGACAGGGTGGGTTTTGGAGAATCGAGCCTCCGACTTGAAGACATTTCCCCAGAGCTTATAAAAGTTGCCCTTGGCAAGCTGCTTCTTGGACGGGGCATCGACGTCTGCCGCCTCGTCAACTGAGTCATACTGACGGCGCTTCACGGGGTCAAGAAGGATCTCGGTGGCCTTTTGAATGCATTTGAAGAAATTGTCATCGTCGGTGCGGCCAGCGGCGGCCTTCTTGTCGGGATGGTGGCGCAAGACCTTCTTGCGATGGGCCCGCTTGATCTGGTCTTCGGTCGCCTTATACCGGAACTTTGTGAGGCCGAGGACAGCATAGTGATCTTGGCTCTAAAATTTGCAAGGGAAAAAAAAGAAAAGGTCCACGTTAGCAACAGAGGGTGAGGTAGAAGATATGAATGGGGGAGAGTTGGTTCTAACCTTCCAGTCCTTGGCGTCACGCTGAAGCATGAGAGGATCCTCGTCCTCGCTGATTTCACTGTACTCTTCGTCTTCAACCTTCTTGGCCTTCTCCTGGGCTTGGATACGGTCGTCCTCGGAAAAGGTGCGCTTATGACGAGCACGGCGGGCATGGGCAAGGAAGTGAGGTCCGACTGGTTCAATCGTGCGCAAAGTCGAGGCGGAGATATGGCCAACAGGTTTGAAATCCTTTCCCGCGGCCCAATCCGCAGGAAGGGCCGGGAGGGGAATGCTAGTGACTGATGCAACAGCCATTGTTTTTCTGCTCGAAGGGATCTTGAATTTGTCGATGGCAAGAAAATTTTGGAGGGGCACAATTGGAGATAAGCAACAGCTAAAAATTTCTTGGTGTGGCGGCTGCAACGCTTAGACCAACTTTGACCTGGAGGTGTGTCTGACTAAGAACAAAGGTCGCGCGAAGTCACTGACCAGATGTTCGGCTGCTACAATGGAATTCGAATTGTTTCCTTCCTTTCCCCAAGTAAGCAATAGTACTTGATATATAGCCTATGTATAAACTACACCCCTTGGGAAAATCACTTTGACTCCTAATAATTACGAGCGACGAAAAAGAAGAAAAAGTAATTCTAGGTTGATTTCGAGGAATTTCTTGTAGAAAGCGGGCATCCCGAGGCCAAGGAAACCACGAGAAATCGACAAAGATGGTTGGCCCGTCCACGCCCATTGATCATGGAAAAGGTACCTGTGTAAAAAGTCTTTGAAAGGCGAAGACTAAAGACTGAAATACCTCTTTCAGTGATATTCATATGAAGTAAGTAGTCTATGCATCAATTGGGATACGGACTTTGATACGTTTGATTATTAAGCAGCTGTGAAATTGGTAGTTTGAGGACGGCAACGAGCTTTTGTAGCCCACCATTGCTCATGTGCCCCCATCATCGTGGAACGAGCGTAGGATATATCGAGCCTCGATTTTTACCTCCGACGGCCCTCTCAAGCCATCCCATATCCTAAGCCACTTTACCTAGCCATATACATCAGCACAGGCACCGCGACCATGGCCCTTGCTGCATACCGGAATCTTTTCCGAGCTACCCAGGTGGCCTTCCGGGGTCAGTCAAATCGATATTTTTTTTGACGGGCATCGGTCCTTCTCGGCCCCCCATTCTGTGATGCTAACCCAGAATCTCCCTCTGCAGGCGATCAGCGACTCCTTATCGAAGCGAGAAATCGTATCCGTGAAGAATTCCGCGCTGGCGCCAGCCCCTCAGACCCCGACTTCCAAAAACGTATTCAACATGCCCAGGAGGTTGCCTCGGTGCTCAGGGCGAACGTAGTCCAGGGTGTGCAGGAGGAGAACGATGTATACAGTATGGCCCGACGTTCTTCTCTTGGATAATCTTGCCCCGACGGGATGAAAAATATTGGTGCTGACCTGAACCGTGTCATTGTAGGGCTGCGGATACATGATCAGACCGAGCGTGGCGACAACGATAGCATCAAATCGCCAACGCAGACGCTTGGTGGCGGGAAATGCGGTTGCAGTTGATTTATGACATCTCATCACCGATGCCAGGTGTGTTTGTACGATACCGATTGCCGGACTCACTGTGCCAATACAGAAGCATGTTTACCAATGAAGCTAGAGTGTTTTTTTGTTGTCCCGATAAACGCCCGCGTGTATTCCATATCCTCATAATCGCCGCCGTCCGTATAACGCCTTAGAATGCGAAGCTCGTGCTCATTTGAAACAAGACATGGCAGGGTACACCATAAGCTTACGCCCCCTCGAGACTTGCATATTTGGGAATCGCAGCACTTCCTGGTGGCGCGGCGGTGGTGGCCGGGCCGGCGGATTGTTCACCCTCAGAAGCCGACGGCGTACTCCCGGGGTGACCTCGACGGTTATCCTTGCCCCTCACACCAGTGATTGTACGCCGCGCATCCATCAACATCTGCGCCCTCTGTTCTCGATTCATGGTTCCAACCGCCGTTGGCATTTTCCAGCGTACACGGAGGGGACAGCCCGCAATGACTGCACGCCCCTGGCAGGCAGCAGCAGCCTTTTCCGCAGCCTCCCTAGTCTCAAAGTTGATAAAAGCGCAATGCGACATATGAGAGCATATGAGGCTCTTTATCTTGCCATGGACTTTGAAAAAGTCTCGGATCTTGTATTCAGGAAGGTCGTCCTCAACCCCAGTTAGGAACAAGGACATGATATTCTTGTCATCTGGTGGCATCCAATCCTTGGGGCCGATTGGTGTATGTGCTATGCCACCCGCGGCTGGTTTTGGTCGATTCTGACGTCCACCGCCCGCGGCCGCGGCCGCTCGGGAGTCGCGAGTCCGGATTGGACCAGGTCCGCCGCGACCGGCGCCTGTGGAAGAAATGATGGCACCCGAGTCGTCAACGGTCGGGCCTTTCCTGAAATAGGGTTTGCTTGTTGCCAAGCGGCGAAGCAACTCTCTGGCCTTTTCATCCGTCTTTTCATACTCTTCAACACCTCCTCGACCTTCCTCAATAGCTCGCTCATTGTTCTGGGCAAAATATTCACGGTTGACATCGGAGGTAGGGCCGGGCGCAACCATCTTTAATGCGGCATCGCGGACCACGAGAGGCAGACCAAACGAGAGATCGAGCATGCAAGATTGGCAACAGTTTTTGAGTCTAGCGCAGGTTAGGCAGACATTACACCTTCGTTTCCGGCCTTGCGCTCGGTCGGCACTCCAGCTAAACACGGTAAATGGACGTGTACACTAGGGAACAGATCTTGGGTTAGCAAGTGTAGACGAAGCAGGACCAAGAAAAAGAGTATATAAAAAGGCGCGTAGACTAACCAGTTTACACTCGGCGCCATAGTCTTCCTTGAGCATCTTGACATATGGATTTTCTGGAAGGCAGTTTTCGCAGACTGAAGGGAAATCTGTTGTTTCCCATCCGGATCTGTTAAGATCTTGCTTGATCTGAGGCGGAGGCATGTTGTCGGCGGCGCGATGGAGGGAATAAAGCTGGTGGCGTGGTGGCTATGGTGCCTAGGAGAATCACAATGACCTTACTATGTGATATTGCGCAGGATGTTTCGGATCGATATAACGTAATCGTATTAATATTATGTAACACGAGGAGAACTTGGTTGGAGAATTGGGGCAGGTCAGCCTGGATGTGTCGAGCTGTTGAGGCCCCTCCATTTGTTTTCTTCCAGTTTTAAAAAAAAAGGACGGCAAATTTTCAATTGGACTGCAACTCTCTGCGACGACGAAATTAGCTCTGCTTATATAATGAAGCAAAAGTCTGTTCAATTTGACAATTGCAGTTGTCCAGATCGCAATGAAGTGTCGTGCCTGACTCGTATTCGGATTCGAAATTTCCTCTTTTCCCATTGGTCATGACCTTACCTGGTTATTTCGATGAAGCCTGGGGTATTGATACATTAGTGACAATATCTACAAAGGAGAAATACATTGTACTGAGGACATGACGGGGAGTCGCCACAACGGGCGGTCAGTGCCTTTTTTTAAGCTTGAAAAGGGGAGAGTAAAAAAGCATGTCCATCCGAATACGCCCGTTTTCGCTTCCTGACCTCCAAAGCTTTGCAGAGCACACCTACTTTGTATAACTATAAAGTATCGGACCCTGCTTCATCTTCCCCAATTGATCCAATTCGGAGTGAATTTCTTCTCTAATCCCTTCTGCTCAAAGCAAGCAAGCTTCCGCGTCGATTCAACCCCCAATTCCTCACCTCAATCTCGATAAGACACACCGCGACCATGGTGGCATCCTCGACCGCTTCGCACCTCGAGAGGGAGGACCACGGCCGAGATGCGGCCTTTAACAAGGCGATGCACGGAAGCAGCGCGCAGGCCACGGGTGGTATCGCCGCAATTCTAAAGAAAAACACGGCCGCCCAGAAAGTAGCATCGGAAGAATACTTTAAGCATTGGGATAACAAGGCCGCCAAAGACGAAACTGCAGAGGATCGAGCAGTAGGTTTCCGGCACGTGGACAATGCCGGCAGTAATAGATGCTAATACTCACGAAATAGGCCCGCACAGCTGAGTACGCGACTCTCACGAGGCAGTATGTATCCCCCCCCTATCCCCAAGACACTGCAGAATAAACCTTAGAAGCATGGGTTCTAACCAAGTGACTTTGCCAGTTATTACAACCTTGCTACCGATCTGTACGAATATGGCTGGGGACAATCGTTCCATTTCTGCCGCTTCTCATATGGCGAGCCTTTTTACCAGGCCATTGCAAGACACGAGCACTACCTTGCGCACTGCATTGGCATCAAAGAGGGGATGAGGGTCCTCGACGTCGGCTGTGGTGTCGGCGGACCAGCTCGTGAGATCGCCAAGTTCACCGGATGCCACGTCACCGGCCTGAACAATAACGACTACCAGATTGAGCGCGCCACCCATTACGCTGCCAAGGAGGGTCTTTCTGACCAGCTTGAATTCGTTAAGGGTGATTTTATGGTACGCCTTCTTTTTTTTTTCCACCCTAGGCTGAGCATTGAACGTAGTGTAACATACTCACCCGTCATTGGTTTTTTTCTATAGCAAATGTCGTTTGCCGATAACACCTTCGATGCTATTTACGCCATCGAGGCGACGGTTCACGCGCCAACGCTAGAGGGCATCTATAGCGAGATTTTCCGAGTGCTTAAACCTGGCGGTGTCTTCGGCGTATACGAATGGCTCATGACGGATCAATATGACAATGACGACCTGCACCACCGAGCTATCCGATTGGGTATTGAGCAAGGTGACGGTATCTCTAATATGTGCAAGGTTTCAGAGGCTCTAGCAGCCATCGATGCGGCTGGATTCGAAATGCTTATGCACAAAGACCTTGCAGGGGGTGACGATGCCCTCCCATGGTACTGGCCCCTGTCGGGAGAGCTGAGGTACATCCAATCTGTCGGTGATATCTTTTCCATCGTGCGCATGACGCGGTGGGGCCGGACAATCATGCACAACCTGGCTGGCGTGATGGAGAAGGTTGGCCTTGTGCCGGTCGGTACGAAGAAGACCGCGGACAGCCTCGCGCATGCTGCCGATTGTCTGGTCGCTGGAGGCAGGGAACATCTCTTCACCCCAATGTACCTGATAGTGGCGAGGAAGCCGTCGAATTAAATACTAGGGGTGAGAATCGTTTCAGCCGATGTAGTCGTTTCTATGGGTAAAGGCATGGCCGGGAGGACAATAATGGAGAGGGAGTCTCTCGTTGTGCGCGGCCTATCTTGTGAGAGGCTCAGATCTTCAGCTTCCGTCTAGTTTTATTCCCTGAGCCAGAGCTGGAAATCCGTGGATATAATTTTGAATGTACATAATGCATAGTTCGTACACCGATAATAATAATTCAATGGAAGCAACGCCATGTCTGAGTGTCGACTGTGAGTGTTCTGTCAATAATTTAGGGCACGGGGGCGTGTCATTGGCTTGGTGGCCTGTCAAGCGAAGCAATCTGTACTTTGCACTCTGCATTCTCGACGCAGCTATTGAGACGTCTCTCTCTTTCTCTTTTTGCCCCCTGTCTTTTCTTTATAGACATAAACGGGCCCTCCGTACGTTTGGAATGAAGCCGGTTTATACCAATGATTGTGGGCTCCGATGAACTCTCCCCAAATATCATAATAGTTCTAAACTGCTTTCACGGTGGCATTGCACCTAACGTATGCTCCAAGGGAAAGGAACACTGAAGAAACCTTAATTGCAGAAGAACACCAAGACGCAACTCTTCACTCTTCTCGGAGAGCAAGGGACCCGATTCAGTACTAATCGCGACTAGCTCCCAGGAACTTGGATCCACAGCATTTTTCGGTTGACATTAAACACTGTGGAAAGCTCCTCCAGAAGCAGGGGTAGAACCATCAGCAAGGGTTACTGAAATGCACCAAATTGTGTGCTACATCCTTGCGCCTGAACCCCTTCGTAAACTACGAAGTACTTCGTGCCTGTAACTTCTTGGAGGCGCCCGCTTAGCGGGCTTGTATTGATACTTCCTGTGTTGTAAGAGGACGGAAGTAAGTACCAGTACCTTAGAGGTGCCAATCGTCTCAATCAATCATGTTCTGCACCCAAACCCCTCCAATTATAATTATAGACAATTGCATCAGCATCTATCCTTTACCAAGTATACTTCGTACCTCTACCTTCCCCGGCGGCTGGTACACCCGATTTTTCCGCTTCTAGCCCCAGCGAAAGGTAAGCTGTTGAGCTTTACTCAACTTTTGGAAAAATTCCCTCCTATCAACCTTCCTCTGCCGAAACGGTTCGGGTCTTCACCTATTACCTCCTTTCCCACATCTCTCCTCACGACTTATCATCCAGGCAATTGAACTTTTGTCTTCGTCTTCTCCGTCCCAGGGACAAGGACCATTTTGCCGCTCGCCTTATAGCGTTCAATTCCGCCCCGGCCTATCTCGTTTCCACGTCATCACGGCTCTATCGTCACGTCCAGACAATCCACATCTTCACACATTCATTCCTTAGCAGTGTCCAGGACAAACAGGATCCAGAAAATGTCGCGGTACGTTCTCCGTGCTAGCCGAATGGCTGCTTCCGCAAGGCCTGCCACTTTTGCGAGGACCGCCTTGACTCCAGCTTTCGCCATCCGTGCTGCCCGAACCTACTCTGCTTCCGCGGCCACCAAGGAGTATACCGTTCGCGATGCGCTAAATGAGGCGCTAGCGGAAGAGCTCGAGTCCAACCCGAAGGTGTTCGTGATGGGTGAAGAGGTAGCCCAATACAACGGAGCCTACAAGGTTACCAAGGGTTTGCTCGACAGGTTTGGCGATAAGAGGGTGATTGATACACCCATTACTGAAAGCGGATTCACCGGTCTGGCTGTGGGCGCTGCCCTCAGTGGTCTTCACCCTGTTGTACGTCTTGTCTCGTTTGATCCCCTCCGGTTTTCTGGACAGTTATTTTTTGTCACTTTATCGCCATGCTTTCTTGCCTGTTCTCTTCGTCAACTGACCCTGACACATCATGTCTAGTGCGAATTCATGACGTGGAACTTTGCCATGCAAGCGATAGACCAGATCGTCAACTCGGCAGCAAAAACACTATACATGTCTGGAGGTATCCAGCCATGCAATATCACATTCCGTGGTCCAAATGGCTTCGCTGCTGGTGTCGCCGCTCAGCACTCCCAGGACTACTCTGCCTGGTATGGTAGCATCCCGGGACTTAAAGTCGTCGCCCCCTGGAGCGCCGAAGACGCAAAGGGTCTCCTCAAAGCAGCTATCAGGGACCCCAACCCTGTCGTTGTCCTCGAGAACGAACTGATGTACGGTCAATCTTTCCCCATGTCCGAGGCCGCCCAGAAGGATGACTTCGTGCTTCCAATCGGAAAGGCCAAGATTGAGCGCGTCGGCAAGGACCTTACAATTGTGTCGCTATCTCGATGCGTAGGCCAGTGCATGATCGCGGCCGAGAATCTGAAGAACAAGTACGGCGTTGAGGCTGAAGTCCTCAACCTTCGATCAGTCAAGCCCATGGATGTCGAATCTATCGTCAAATCCGTCAAGAAGACACGGCGACTACTTGCTGTCGAATCCGGCTTCCCCGCCTTCGGCGTTGGTTCGGAAATTCTAGCGTTGACCATGGAATATGCCTTTGACTATCTGGATGCCCCGGCCCAGCGTATCACCGGAGCTGAGGTTCCGACGCCATACGCGCAGAATCTCGAAGAGATGAGTTTCCCGACCGAGCAGTTAATCGAGAATTACGCAGCCAAGATGCTTCGGGTGTAAGAGGGGGAGGCGAGATTAGCAGCGGTGAGAACAAGGGAGAGCCCAAGGGTTGTAATGGAAAGTAGAACCAACCCACCGGAGGGGGGAACATTGGCAAAGGGGACCAGATGTCGCGTAGACTAGGGCGATGATGGGAACTGGGAACAGGACAGTGGAAAGGGGTGAATCGGTTCCGAAAACTGTAATTACATACTCTCGACCCATGTAATCCGTCACATTACTTAGAGTCTGGGAGGCTCGGAAACTATTAGCTGTAACTCTATCTTCTTTTGCACTCGCAATTCAAGCACTATTTTCTTTTGGATGGGATATTCTACTGCCTGGGGCAAATGGAGGTTCAGCAGGACATAGGTTCATAGGTTCTATGAGAATAGTCAGCGCGAGATTAAAAAAAAAACTATTCATCATCTTCACAATTTACACCCTGCAGCATGGCGGCGGCACGGATGTCGTACATTAAAGGGTGCTCAGTCAATCATTGATAAAAAAGACTTTGGAATTTCTGATTGCTCCGACTCGATTAAGCTTAGTTTTCTGCTGTCTTAATTCTCAGGGCTCAATGCTGGCATATTTGGTCAACGTTTGTTAGCTAACCTCGATAATTTGAGGAGTGGGAGCATGATTGTTTGTTGCTTGACCTGGCAATCCATTTGCACCTTCTCATAATCATCCATTCTCCACAAACGTGCCTTGCTTTTTTCAACTTCTATTTTTCTTTCTGTCTCTTATTCCCCTACGACCTTACGGAGAACGTCTGAGCTCCCAAATCTCACCATATGGTGTATGTTTCTAGGACATTGAGAATACTCACCCACGCCATGGCCTGTGAGGATGCCTTGCAGGCCTGTATGGAGAGGTTATCGGTTCTGAGCTGTGGCGCTGAGGAACGAGAGGATAAACCCGTATCCGTCATCGACGACCTACTGGCTGGAGGACCCAGACCAGTGAATCGAAGGAAACCTGCCACTATAAGCAACGAGCACTTGAAGCAACAGCTCGAGGGCGAATTTTTGGCGCCTTCCGCATCGTTTCCCCCGGAGTGGCTGGATCGGTTTCAACAGTACGTTGCTCAAGCCCTACCCCTCGCCATCATATCTGCCCGATTCACTGTGGTCGCATCCAAACCCAGAGATGTAATCGGCCCTAGCTAACTAACACCCCCTCACTCAATCTCAGACGCTGGGAGAGCCTGGTAGAGTTCTCGGAACTGTTCCACCTCGCTCCAACCCAGAGTCGAACAGTCACACGATTTGTTCGTCATGGCCTAGAGGGCCGGGTGACGGGGTACAAAAGTGTAACGGTGCCGGCGAACAGCGCCACTGCCAAAAACTCCACCTCTTTCCTGCGGAAACCGGCAGGCAGGGCTGACTTTGTTCGCGGCGCCGCCGGCTTTTTCCCTTTTGCTCCGGGAGGCCTTGACGGTATCGAGGCTGCTGCTGCATATGAGGATCTGCAGCTTGCCGATGGCGCTGACACCAAGGCAGGTGCTTCTAACAAGCTGGAGAGAGTCATTACCCTAGGCGCCGAGGGTGGGCTGTTGGAAGTAGCACCCGGACTATCACGGGGCATCAATTTTGGAAAGAAAACACCTCTGGCTGAGGAAGATGAGAGTCAGCAAGTGGTGCGAGAGCTCAGAGAGGAGCCGGATCAGATACATGTCTCCGAAGGCGTCGACGGAGAAATCGTATCGCCTGCTGCTGGGGAGGAGAGTCCTGAATCTGACGAGGATGCGGAAGAAGACATCGATGCCATTCTCCCCGTCGAGTTCCCCGCGTTGGAGCCCCACGGAATCCTGGCGGCATCCAGTACCCGCAGGGCTGGCCGGGAATATGCACACATGGTAGACATCAAACGAGAAATGGCAAACTTCGCAGAGCTAGTGCCGGACATGGCTAGAGAATGGCCGTTCGAGCTCGATACCTTCCAAAAGGAGGCCGTCTATCATCTCGAAAACGGCGACTCCGTTTTCGTCGCCGCCCATACGTCAGCCGGAAAGACAGTCGTGGCGGAGTACGCCATCGCCCTAGCTGCCAAGCACATGACCAAGGCGATATATACCTCGCCCATCAAGGCTCTAAGCAATCAAAAGTTTAGAGACTTCCGTCTTACCTTCGACGATGTTGGGATCCTCACCGGAGATGTTCAGATCAATGCCGAAGCTAGCTGCCTCATCATGACGACAGAAATCTTGCGGAGCATGCTCTACCGTGGCGCTGACCTGATTCGAGACGTCGAATTCGTGATTTTCGATGAGGTCCATTACGTCAATGATTTCGAGCGCGGCGTCGTGTGGGAGGAGGTTATCATCATGCTACCGGACCATGTGTCCCTCATCCTCCTCTCTGCCACGGTCCCAAACACGTATGAATTCGCCTCATGGGTAGGCCGGACCAAGAAGAAGGATATTTACGTCATCTCGACGACCAAGAGGCCAGTGCCATTGGAACATTACCTCTGGGCGGGCAAGGCTATCCACAAAATAGTCGATTCCGAGAAGCGGTTCCTGGAGCAAGGTTGGAAAGATGCCAACCATGCACTTCAGGGGAAGACGAGAACCCTTACAGAGAGTTCTGCTGGGGCACGAGGAGGAGGCCGGGGCCACGGTAGAGGTGGCAACCAGCGAGGCGGCCAAAGGGGCTCTGGGCAGCGAGGAAACTCTTCTCGAGGAGGCGGTGGCCGGGGCGGAGGCCGAGGTGGACCTTCGCGTGCCAGCCACGCTCCTGGTCATATGGGTAGAACCGGACGTCCAGGTGGGTATACGTCCGCTGCCCAAGACAAAACGCTCTGGGTCCACATGGTCCATTTCCTGAAGAAGAACAGCCTTCTCCCGGCCTGTATATTTGTCTTCTCCAAGAGGAGATGCGAGGAGAATGCCGATGCTCTTAGCAATCAGGATTTTTGCACTGCATCCGAGAAGAGTGCCATCCACATGACGATCGAGAAGTCTATTGCGAGGTTAAAGCCCGAAGACCGGGTGCTTCCCCAAATCATCCGCCTACGAGATCTTTTAGGCCGAGGTATCGCTGTACACCACGGTGGTCTACTCCCTATCGTCAAGGAACTGGTCGAGATCTTGTTCGCCCAAACACTCGTCAAAGTCCTATTTGCGACGGAAACTTTTGCCATGGGCCTTAATCTTCCCACCCGCACTGTCGTCTTTTCTGGGTATCGAAAGCATGATGGCCATTCCTTCCGCAATTTGCTTCCCGGTGAATACACCCAAATGGCGGGTAGGGCTGGTCGGAGAGGGCTGGACAGTGTTGGTTCTGTCATAATTGTACCACCAGGCGGAGACGAGGCACCTCCTGCCGGCGAGCTGCGGACCATGATCCTGGGCGAACCGTCCAAGTTGCGATCTCAGTTCAGGCTCACCTACAACATGATATTGAACCTTCTGCGGGTTGAGGCGCTCAAGATAGAGGAGATGATTAAGCGTAGCTTCTCGGAGCATGCCACCCAGCAGCTTCTCCCCGAGCATGAGAAAGCTGTTAGACTGTCCGAGGCCGACCTTGCCCGCGTCAAGCGAGATAGCTGCGACGTCTGTGATGGCGTCGTGGACGAGTGCCACGGGGCCTCGCAAACATATCGCCAGTTGACGACCGAGCTATATAAAGGGCTCTTGGCTATCCCTATCGGACGCAAGATGTTTACTGCCCAGCGCTTGATCGTCTACAGTAGGGACGGAATACGGACTCCCGGTATCCTACTCGCTGAAGGTACCAGCATCAAGGGCTCCCCCAATAACCCGATGGTCCATGTTCTCGAGATTAAAACCGTCAGGGATACAAGAGATTCGACAGATCTTTTACCTTTTGTATCGGCCTTTTGGGGCCTTCTTACGCCTCTTCCACAGGCAAAGAAACACGTACATATCAAGACGGCCCACGTCCCGGTTGAGGACATCATCTGCCTCACAAGATATGTTACCAAAGGCATTGTGCCCGAAATATTCCAGGGTGGGGATGCCGGCCGCAGAGCAAAGGAACGGATTCATGGTCTATGCCGCTCATGGGATGGTATCTGGGAGGAGGCGGACATGTCACGATTCAAAAGCCTATATTTGCAGGAGTTGGTGGAGAGGAGAAAGAAGGCGGCTGCCACGGCAGCAGCTTCGCCCGCTTTACGTTGCCCCGACTTTGTAAAACACGTAAGTACTTTCACCTTCCCTGGGGCCATACCTGTCTAGGAGTGTACCCTGCAAAGCAATTCTAGCGAACGCTAACGACTGTCGACTCTATCTAGTTCGCAATGTGTCACGACCAGTGGCTTATCAAAGATCACATTTCCCAGCTCCGCCAGGCTCTTTCGGACCAAAACCTCCAGCTCCTTCCGGATTACGAACAGCGGATCCAGGTACTTAAAGATCTCAAGTTCATCGACGATGACACGCGCATTCAACTCAAGGGCAAGGTTGCCTGCGAGATACATTCAGGAGACGAACTTGTCCTCACTGAGCTCATCCTGGACAATGTCCTGGCGGACTACGAACCAGCAGAAATTGCGGCCCTTCTTTCTGCATTCGTGTTCCAGGAGAAGACTGATTGTGAGCCCTCACTGACAAGCAAGTTGGAACGGGGCAGAGCAACTATCGTGGAAATCAGCGAGAAGGTGAACGAAGTCCAGACGCTGCATCAAGTTATCCAATCTTCCGACGAATCAAACGACTTTGTGTCGCAACCCCGGTTTGGCCTCATGGAAGTTGTCTATGAGTGGGCTAGGGGGATGAGTTTCAAAAACATCACGGATTTGACCGACGTCCTCGAAGGCACTATTGTCCGCACCATCACCCGCCTAGACGAGACATGCCGCGAGGTAAAGAACGCGGCGCGCATTGTGGGAGACCCTGAGCTTTACCAGAAGATGCAGGCCGCCCAGGAAATGATCAAGCGAGATATCACGGCAGTCGCTAGCTTATACATGTGAAGAAACAAGAGAAAAACCCCCCAAAAAGGGGAAGTGGTAATCGAGGGTCCAAAAAAAAAAACCTGGCTGTTATGTCTCATGGGCAGTACTTCGTAGCCACGTCATCGTTGGGGCCTTTTATCAGCGCGGCTGTTTATGATGAGATGAAATGACGGCACAGATCCTATAAAACAAATTTCCGAGCCCCAACTCTAGGGGAAAGTAGAGACAAACCTACCAGGCCTCCAGTCCCGAAACGCATAAATTCCTATTCTTGTTTATATATATCTGGGGGTAAACCCCTCTAGGATCGTGATTCGGTGCCCTTCCAATGCTATGTATGTCCTCCATGTAAACCGTTAAAACTCCATCAACGCCTTTCCAATTTGACCTTCCGCGCACCGAAACATCATGACTTGAATCCACCATTACGCGTAAAAGAAGACCCCAACAGGGGGGGTCGAGTAGATCTATGCCCTGAGAGCCCGCAGCCTCTGCTGCAGCTGATCTTCCTCCTCGGCGGTCGGCTCCGTTGCAACCGGTTCGGCGACGACTGGCTTCGGGCTATTGAGCTCCGCACTAAGTTCTACGCCTGCGTCATCGGCAAGCTTTCCTAGAAGTTCGTGGACAGCATCGTCCGAGACCTGAGCACTTGTTGACTGGGCGATGGCATCCTGATAGATGCCGTTGGACATGGCGTATTCCTCGTTTTGTTGTTTAAACTGCTCAAGCGTGAGGAGAGTCTGTGACGTGAGAGGACATTAGCTATGAATGGTGAAGCTCGGGGTTCTCATGGTTGAAAACAGTACCTTTTCCGGGTTGACATTCCTCTGCGCAACAGACATTGTCCGCGACGAGTTTGCCATCATGTGGGTCATGCGATTCATTGCGTTATTGGCCTGGATCTGAGCAGCTGATAGCTCCGCCATGTCCGCCATCTGATCCATCTGCTGCGCAAGTGCCTGTTTCGAAAGCAACATCTTTGCTTTTTGATAAGCCTTGGCGGTTTCGCCTTTCTTCAGGAGCTAGAGTTGAGATGTTAGCCGGGCAGTGCAGTAGGAGAGGACGGACTTGTGGAGTGGTACTACGAACATCCTGAATCTGCTTCTTCAGGATAGGATCCTGCTTTGCGGCCTTCTGCGCCTCTCTCCGGGCTTGCTTGGCTTGGAACTGGGAAGAGGATCAGTACCTGGCTGACAGTTTGCAGTGATGGTGGTTGGGATAGGCAGACATACCCTCGCCTGAAACTCCACCTGCATATCTCTGGCAAGTTGTCGGTTCGACATTTTTTGGGGGGACTATGGCTGGGCGGTGGCTATGAGACGGCTTTCTTGATAAATTCAGTGTTGAGGAGATGTTCGCACTTCGCTCTGATAGTGATGTTAATGGTGGCGCTGAAGTCGTCCAAAATCTTGATGGGTCTTGGTCTCGTCAACGTCATGGGACACGGAGTACAAAGGCAAACTGAAGTGGCTATCCCCAATAGTGGGGTTTGACACTGATTGACAAGGGCCTCAAGTCCCGCCAAGGCTCTGGACGAACGACCTCGGACAACAATTGAATGAACTCAAGAGTTCTTGTGGTTAGTCAGCCATGATTACGTGCCCTCCTCCTTGTACGTCTTCAGCCGTTTCATACTTCGCAGCTCATCCGCTTATCATTGCCCTGTGCAGCATCAATCGGTCACAATGAGTTTGAAAGAAACAGTGAACATAGACTTGCTCACTCAACCCGTTTGATGTTCCTCCAGTTTGCTAAACGATGTCAACATTAATTCTTCATGATCCCCAAAGGCCCCTCGTTCTACAACTATATCCCCCATGCTTCGTACGCAGTATTTCATGTTGTATCCCCTCTATTACCTTAATCCTTCACTGTCATCCAATTTAAACCGGGCAGATGAATCAATATATCGCGAGCAAGAGTGAAACTGGCTTGCATTGAAGGATGTTGCGGGCATCTGACTACTGGAGGTATATGGCGGATATGCTGTCAGGATTAGACGCTGTTTTGGATTCCCACACTCGGCCCAGGAAGTTTCCGGCTAGAACATAGGTCGAGCCAGGCCATGATGGGGTTCTTCTACACAGCACGGCCATGCCATGAATGACGGGGTGGGTACTATTGGAGTCTCCCGAAAACGCAGCATGTGCGCCAGATCGTCACATTCCTCGCCGCGTAACACATATCCACTGATGTGCCTTTCTTCTGGAAGTCTTTTCCTCCCACGCCAGATGTAGTCACAATTCATCTTGATCAGCGTCTAGAGATTCCTCCCGGGGTGTCTGCTCCCCTTCCCCCTTCGAGGCAGTTGATACATCGTTTATCTGTTGCGCCTTTGAGACGCCAGGATGGTTGAGCATTTCGGAGCAGCCGGTGTACATGGCGCCTTGCGTTAAATGCTTCGCAGTCGACTGAAGACTGGCCCAGAAGTTGGAATACAGAGCGGTTCCCGGCAGGCCGCCGTCTGAGGTTGAGAAGGTTCCCCAATTTCGGCGCCACGTTGTTGCCACTGATGGAAACCCGCATAGTCACGCAATGTCCAACTACCGAGGGCATACTGGGAAGCCCAATTGTCATTATATCTACCTTGCATTGTGAGAATCCCACCGGGCCACTTTCGCTGAGTTGTCAATGCGATTATTTTCCGTCTAGTCACCGATCGTTCTCTTATTACGAGTATTACTGCCCATCGGCTTGCTACGCGGCAAAGTAAGTCCTTCGTGCTTACTTCACCGCATAGCTCCTTTGCCACTTAAGTCAAGAGTTTCGGCGAAATATAATGGCTGGTGAAGACCCTCCGAGACCATCGTTTCCTACACTCGTCGATGATTTATCATGCCTGCGATAGGTGCTGCTCGATAACGGCGATAAAATCCGAAGCCCTTCTAGTTTACAAGTCCGTCCCCTTCAGGGTTCCGCCCATCGAACCTTGATATGGGTACTAACGTCGATCGATACAACTCCATCTGGGGTCTATTATCAAACGCCTTCCATACGATTGCCCCTCCGGCGTTACTGCTATTAGCACGTAGCCTCAGTAGAGGTCGGACTCCGGGCGGGTGTATGCCGTTGCCAGGTGGTCATGACAATGCTGGCCACCCGGGGCCTCCCGGAGCAATCAATAATAATTTGTATAGTATTGATGTAAAATATCAAGTCTAGTTCATACCCCGGAAGGGTCAATGTCGAGAACTGCCATCCCAAACGACGTAGAGAATTGCCATCTGGGATTAATTAAACACGGAAGAAGTGTTCCACGCCCACATGTAGATGCCATCGGCATTAATTCTTAAGAGTATCCTCGATGAGTTCGTTCACTGGTTTAGGACAAGGCAAATTTCAGCCTAATATGCCCACAGTCGAGAGAAGAGCCTCCCAGAAGATTGCGCGGGAAAGTACTGCAGGTGGAGACTACCTTAATCCCGCATTGCCAGGCGTTTCATGCGGGCTCACGGCCAGGATGGAAAGGCGTCGGTCCTTGCGAGTGGCTGGAATGGATTTGAGACTGTTGAATCTTGGCAGAATGATGGGATTGCGAGGGCGATCTGATGGCAAGAAGCGGAGAATCGGACATGGCTTCAACAAGACATCAACCAAGGCCCGAATTTGACTGAATTACTTATTACTCTGTACCTTTGTAAAGTAAACTACCTTTGAGTTCGCGGCGTCTCTCAACAAGCACTGCCTGGACGGAATAATTGACGAAGTGTTTTGAATCCTACGACATACATGGCACTAATTACTCCGATTTGAGGGAAACCTCGAAGCACAAAGTACCTTCGTATACCTTTGTATCGTTGAAAGCAATTCGCAAGGTCCATCACTGCACGAAACCGTACTCGTAAGCCTTCGGCAGTCATAAACATTATGGGAGTTTAATAATAGCTCGAATGAGAACTCGACTCCTCCTCCTCACCAGGGATTTATTTCACTTTATGAAGTTACTAGCAAAAGTCATTTAACGTTATTATCTTGGGGCAATATACGAAGGTAAGGTTGATGGGGGGGTGATACACAGGCACTTCATAATGCGCTAAAAATAAATAACAGCAAAGGATGAGCCTTGAAGGCTGTGTGTTGAGTGTGTGACAGGAGCCTCATCCTTCAGACTCGTGTCTGAAAGTAATACTTAGAAAAGTGGTCCAGAAACATACTTTGTGCGTACCGATGTATGTACTTCGCCAGTTCATTTTCGCTCAGAGGAGTCGGTGAGTCTCTTGGAAAAAAGGAAGGAAAGAAGTAAAACTGAAAAGGGAAGGGCCGGAAGGGGGAGGGTTTAGGGGGAGGAATTTGACGTCTCACCATGCAAAATCGGAGAGAGCAGTCTCGTCACCCCACTCGTCTTTCCCAGTCTCTAAAATAGTTTATGCTCTGGACGGAATATGTGAAATACTTCCATACGAAGGACTTGGGAATGCACCCCTAAACTAGAATATCTTCTCCTGAAGACGCCTCGCGACATTCCACCCGCAGGTGGGTGTACGAAGTAGTTTCCACTCCACTGTACAAAGGTACTAGTGTACTCAGACCTTTGTACTCAGCCTTCGTAATCATACCAACAAAGCAAGAATAAGGGGCACTCGTGCAGGACTTTGATACTAAGACGACCCACTTATTTCAGTACATTTGACACACGAATTACAGTCCACGCCCCTTGGTACCTCGTCGATACCACCAATAGTGTCACGAAGTATGGGTGGGTCGAGTACTAGCTTACGAAGTATGGACATCAGCGCGAAGTTACACTCGGAAGTACGAAGTAAATTAACCCGCCCCTGAGTAGCGACGTACCCTATAAATGTGCCTCCTGCGCCGTCTTATATTGGTGCTTCCTGTATGCCTCAGGCCAAAAAGGCTGTCCTTCCCCCAGAAGAAAGCAAACGTGTCCTCAAGATAAAAGCGCCCGGGCTCCCCCTTAACCTTTCGTCGATGAATCATCATATTTTCCAACAACCTGTCGATTTGCCATACAGAATCCGACACTTGGCCTTTTCCATCTCCCAGTCTCATTCCATCGACACCACGCTGCCTCACTGAGTCACCTTTTGTGTTTGTGGCGTGTCAATCTCTCTACTCGCTGGAGCCTGCAGGCACCATGCACTTCACATAAACCATGAGATCTCGACATTGGCCATATTTCACCTTGAGATTTTGACAAGATATTGTGACGAACCGCGAGATCGTCGTCAACGTCCTCAACTTCCGCTGCTACTCCTGTCCTATATCGTGACAAGACGAAGAACGCAATCTCTAGTTTCCACCCCTTCCTCTGCCAGATACGTCTGTCCAGAATGGCCACCTGGGAAGAACAAGCCTCGCCCGTCGTGAAGTTTGAGGCATCACCTGCAGAATCTTTTCTTTCGACGCCAGGTGAGATGTATCCGTCATTATTCACCGCGTCGGGCACATCTTCAACAAATACGATGAATCCCATCGACATGATGACACCACCTCCCTTCTCAGCCGAATCCAAGCCAGAGACAATAGCATTAGCTGCCCTCTCACCAACAGCCTCCCCTACAAATGTCCCAACTTCGACAGAAACCACAGATACTACGGCACCATCCACCCCGGCGTCGGAAAAGAAGCCGGTGAAAAAGCGGAAATCATGGGGCCAGGTCCTCCCAGAGCCCAAAACCAATCTCCCTCCGAGGTGAGTGAGGATGTAGCAGGCACCTATTGCCCACAGGCCCAAAGGCGGTCATAGCTGACAGGTGCATAGGAAACGAGCAAAGACCGAAGATGAGAAGGAGCAGCGCCGAGTCGAGAGGGTGCTTCGCAACCGAAGGGCCGCTCAATCGTCTCGGGAACGCAAGCGCCAGGAGGTTGAAGCTCTCGAAAAGCGGAACAAGGAGCTCGAGGCCCGCGTTCTCAGCATCGAAAAGACAAACCTCCTGTTGCTCGAGGAATTAAACAAATACCGGCGCACCACAGGCGTCGTGACTCGATCCTCGTCGCCTCTCGACTCTCTTCAATCAAACCCCGTTACCCTGACGTCCGAGCTGTTCAGCTCCCAAGATAGCCACAAGGTCCTGATCGACCAGCTCATGTTCAACGAGCCATCCAGCACTACTGTTGATCCCTCCTCCCTCTCGCCCAAGCTAAGTCCCGACGTGGATGAGCAGGAGTTGGCAGCCGTGGAACCAACCCCAGTCGCGCCGGCGACCACATCAGCCTCTGCGTCTTCGACCTCGGATCGAGCCACCGAATTGACACAACGTCCTGCAGCGATGTTGTGCGACCTGCAGTGTCAACATTCGGTGGATCTTCCGCGGTCGTGGACAACGTCGCAGATGGATCTGGTGCAGCCACGGTCCGCACAGTTCCAGATGTTTCTCCTCGTTTTGTCGGTACTTGTTTCAACCTGCCAACGGCCGCTGACACAGATAGCTATGTCCTTGAAAGCGGGCTTCTCTCTTCCCCCAACTCCGTCGATTTTGAAAACGATTATCTGGCTGGTGACGCGGCCGCGCTCTTCCCGACGGACCTCTTCGACATCTCCCAGTTCCTTCACGAAGATGGGAACGGAGTCGTGTCCGACGCCACGGCGGCAAACGGCCAATCCGTCGCAGCGGAAGCCGAACTCGACCTTCATTTCGCCGACTTTGAGAATCACTTCTCTTCGGAAAATCTTAACCTGCAGCCCCACTCTGGCGCGTCCGCTTCAGGATGCGACGATGGAGGCATTGCGGTTGGTGTCTGAGAGTTGCAATGATCGAGTTGGTGACTTGTCGGGTTTGAGTTCGGCAACGCGCGACGATAAGCCCGCGCCCCCTCAATGGTTGGACGGCTTTTCACTGCCATCTCGCGAAGCACTGTTGACCCTCCTATGGGCATTGAAGATGGAGGAGCGCAAGCTGGAGTCGCAGATTTCAAATTCGAACACCAGTCTTGGTAATTACTGGAACGCGAATATGTATAGGAGCAAAATTGACGCCAAGAGTCGGAAGAGGCACCTGGAGATTAATCCTAGAGTGCGAGGGGGTGAAAAGCGACAGCGTTTCGGCTGAGTACAGTGGTGATTCCATTCTTTGTAACCTTTTTCATTTTCTTTCTCTTTTTTATGTTTGTCGCGAATCCGGGCATCTAGTTATAGTATCTGAGGCGTCACGGGGGGTTATATTATCGGAAATGGGCGGTTGGCTAACCATTTTCCCTCAACAAGCAATATTTATGGGCGGATCAGCCAGAAAAGAGCAATCCAACGATATTTTATGAATACAGAATATTCCCAAACCGATCGTAATTCTCATATCGCACGCTTCCACGGTGAAAACCCGATCTCCAGAAACGCCTCAGGGGTAAACATGCAATTGGTGGGCGGATAACCCTCCCTGTCTACCATAGATCCTCCATTTGTGCCATCGCGGATTCCTCATCCGCAAACATGTCGGCTTCCGGATCAACTATTGCGTTGGAGGAAGTAGTGTCAGCCACCTCCAACATCAGTGACTCGAGCATATCATCTTCGTCGGGGTGCGGGGCAGGGCTGGTTGCTCCTCCATGTGGTGTCGCAGTGTAGACACCGTCAGGATCATCATCGTCGTCGGCTGGTGCAGCGCTAATTGGTGGAGTTGATACCACTTGGTCATCGGCCTCAGCCGACATGCTTCGTATCTCTTCGTCGATCCATCCCTGGCGTTGCTTAAACAGTGCCGTCTTGTGACCAGCCTTCTCAACCATGGACAGGGCGTCTAAGAACTTCGCCTTGGGAAAGAGATCGTCAAGCCATAATTGGTAGAGAGAGAGGATGCGGGCAGCATCGCTAAACTGAGGACCCTTGCGTGGTCAGCAATTCTCATCTCGGCCCTGGGTAAGAAACAAAGGGACTTACCTCATGCCCTTTCCCTTTTAATCGAAGTTTCCTCGCCCGATTTCGAAGCTTGGGAATGCCAGCCTCTGATAGTAATCTGGTGATACCATATGTCAGCGCCTAGAAGCTTCTATGTTGAGGGGTCCTGCTGTACAGAACAGGCTAATCTGCACCTTTGATCATCGAGTTTCACACGCGGTATATGAGCACGTTTCGTCACGGATACCGCATCCTCCAGGCCTAGACCTTCACGCTCATTCCGAGTTCCCAAAACATCCGATACGGAGGAGACATTGGGTTCCTGAAAAATATCCTCAAGTTCAACATCGTAGTCATCCAGATCGTTCGGCCTCCTCGGGTGGGTTGAAATTTCTTCGGCCACCATCTTTCTACTCAAACAGGCGGTCTCCGGTTATGACGAGAGCAAGTCTCTGTACTCTCCAAAGACGCACACATCTGCGGTTCAAGTAGTAAGAAGGGATTCGGAGCTGTCTCCATTGAACCATTAAAGACGCGTTTCCCACGCGTCTTAATATCGCGGGGTAATTGCATCTATCGGGGGCTTGCAGTGATAGTTCTGCGGCCTTGTATATTAGGCATCATTCAAAGCTGCATCATTCTTTTCCGAGAATTGAGGTAATCGACGCCAATTGCAATCAACCTTCGCATCAGTTGATCGAAATCCAGACGCACAACCAAAAGGGATTGTATGACACTGGTCACTGACCCGCGCAATCTATTTCAGCATTCGAGAGGCTCGCCGATTGTACTTGCTTGAGTCATAATGGCGGCACCTCAGCGAGAACCGTTCGCTCCAAGCAAGGTTATCCAAACCGAGTATCCTGTACGTCAACCCCACAAGGACGAAGCGGCTCAGCTTCCAATAGATGCTCTTTAGCAAGTTGATTCTAACCACCGGTTATAGCTGATTGATAATGACCCGTATGCCGACGCGCCCTCCCGAGTCTCTTTCCCTCCGATATCTGCTAACCTTAACCTTGACCTCGGCAAAGACATTTTACGCGGGTGATTGGATACGCCAGGCCGTCTGACTATGTCCACGGCCTAGTCGCGGCCGCCTTTGGGCCGGGTGCTCTTCTTTTCATGGAGAAGTTCTCTCCCTCGCGAGTCGGCAAAGGAGGATTTGCGCCTGCCATGAGGTTGGCAGGAGCAGTCGGCGCCGTTGGAGGATTTCTTTACTTCTACCAGCGATCAGCACGTACGTTTCTTCATCCTCCTCCATACAGAAAATACGATTTAGTTTTAACAAACCCCAAGTTCGCTTTTATGGTGCTACGGAAAATTCTCGCGAGATTGAGATGGATATGAAAGAAATGGTTGCCAAGGTGAAGGCAGGCGAGCCATTGTACGGAGAGAGCCAGCTCACACCACATATGCAAGGAGTCGCAGCTAGACAGTCGAGATATTCGTCGCTTTTCATGTCCATCATGCCTTGGTTCAACTTTGTCAACCACAACCAGCACGGAGTTGACACAGCAAAGTATTACCAGCAGGCTGAGAGGGAATTAGAAGCAGAGAGGCTGGCGAAGGTGTAAGATAGACTGCTTCAGCTCTAGCTTAAGCTCATAGAAATAACAACGACAACAACGGCTACAATAACCGAGATAGTTGGTTGCCGAGGTGAACAGTTTCCGGAAAGCGAGTATGAGATGATGCCTCTTGTACAAACCTTCGCCAGTCCACAGGGGTTCCTCCTCCCACCAAAGGATCGCTCTTTCCAATCTCCAACATTAGAATAGGGGACAAGACTGTCGATTTCTGCCTTCACAGTGCAGTGTATTCCTACTCGTCCCAAAGGCTCGGTTAGTGACGAGTCGAGAGAGAGGAGCGCAAGATTTATCCAAATAAATCGGGAGAGGTTACGTATTGACCCTCCGGGGATCTCTCTTTTCTTCGTCCTCCCAGGTTATCTTATCCCATGTCTAATCCCTCTTACCTTAGATTCTGCTTCACCAACAGCACCTACCCACCACCAAGTTACAAATTTATTCATGGCGGGTAATTCATCGATTACCCAGACTGCTGGGATTTTATGAGAGAGACGAGTTAAAAGATTTATACCTCTTCTATGAGGAGTGTTTATAGAATTCCTCCCGGTGCCTTCTAAAGGAGACTCTCACATGGGTCTGGCACAAACTGAGGCCAACAGCGCCTCCGGGTGTGAATGAGACGGCTCGCTCCCCTCACCAGCTTACCAACAGGACAAGCCCTAGGCTGAGTGGCGCGAATGCGGTTCAGATCGGCGATACCCACTCGATCGATTCAGAGGAGACAGCCGTTTCTATCCGGGGATCATGGCCTATTTGGCGCGGAATCGTGACCGTGAATACATGTCTTGCATCCGTAGTAAACTTCGATCTATCTACAGTTCTAGAGTAAGCGGCGCATTGTTGTACGACAAGACGAGGGGTGGACTTTCGGCGCGTGGATGCTACGGATGACGAAGTCCTTCGGATTCAAGACATTGGAAGCTGGCAGGACAAGTGAAATCATCCCATGCCAAGAGGGTAATCTTACTTCGATATAGAGACTGACATAGACACAGGCCATTCTCCTTCATCAGTCTGTGAATATCGGCCCAACATGTTGATCCCCCACTGCATCAACAAACTATCATAGATAAACTCATCTGAAGCAAGAAATCTAATCCCCCCAACTACCGATAACTGTGATCGAGTCTTCATTAGTAGCAATGTGTATGTGAGGTCGTAGCGTTGGGGTAAGAGGCCGGGAAACAACCTCAAGGGGGTAACGATGAGCCAACACGGGATATGCTAGGTTTATCTAATTCCACGGCATTGTTCCGTTAGGGCCTATGTCCCTGGGGATGGTACTAGTATTAGGACCGATCTCGAACCGACACGGATACATGTAGGGGGCAGCGCAGCCTACGTGGCCCAGGTTCGCTTTGGTAGTAAATGTCCAATAAGATGAACGAGAACCTGGCACTATATGCCGTGGCTTAGGATGCTGCCGGGACAGTAGATCCTTCACTAGTAATGCAGACTTCAGTTTACCGGGCTTGACGGGGGTGACCCCTCTGGCTCCTAATCCACATCTTCTGACTTCAAGGCCCTCTAGTATAGAGAAGTTAAACCCTTCACCTTCAACTCTGGTCGGTTCAGGTTCGGGTTCCCTCACCTTCAGACTCATCGGAGGTCGGGGAGCCAGATCCCTCGGTCTGCTTTGTGGCCGAGGCCCAAGGCGAACCTAGAATACTGCCTCCCGGACTCAACATCGGAATTGTGGAATAGAAAACGATTATGGTAGCCCTCGGAGTGATTGAGATTACCATCACTATGGAAGATGCCATCACACTTCCACCTAGCATGAGAACACCTAGTTATGGGGACTCTAGAGGCAGACTCTGGATGCACCTGCGAAGATGATAGGGCAGCTCCCAGCCGCGAACCCAACGACTAAATAGTAGACTCGTCTCATGCAAACACTTTGGAATCTACAGAGGAACCTAGCCAAGAAGCTAGCCAGGATCTTGCTCAAGATCCCGGTCAATTCGCCATGGACTTCTGTGGGGTTGCTTCCTTATCAGCAGCTGATGGAGACGACATGGTATCCCCCAGCGTCAACGCCTCCCAATGGGGCTCCGGGAGCTGCTGGCTTGTCTGAGGCTTGGGGTTCAAGTATCGGGGTGTGAGCCTCTTCTTTGATGTATTCGCTTCTGGTGTATTAACCCTTGCTTGACCAGCTGTAATTGGAAATTTATAATTACCCTATTGATCTCTCAATTTTCAAGTTTCAATGAACTCCGGGGCATGGACAACTTTAGAAAGCCCAAAGACGACATCGGGGGGATGTGGACGTCTCGCACCGCCCCAGCGGTGGTTGCAAGTCTCTCTCCTGCACCAATTGATAGTCCTCCTTATTCGCATATCCTCTTACTCAGGCACCTATTCCAGTTCATCCCTACCACCATCGCCCACCAATGCCCTTGAGTGAGCTCCATGGGCTTGAAAATTCTCCCCGCCCCTCGGGTTCACCCTCCCCGTCGTCTATTCAGTTCTCTTGAGCTTCTTCAAGCACGAGTCTGCCAAGGCTGCTACAAGAAACATAACAGCCTTTGCGACTTCTTCGCAAATGCATGATTATCGTCTCTCATGAAACGGGAAAGGAGCGACCATAAGCATGGTGTCATCCACGCGGGAGTTCAACGCAGGTACGTATAATATAAATGAGTTTGTGGGTTGTGCGGCATGAGCCACGACTCTCCGTCAGTGTCGCCACCGATAACCGTGATCGTCAGAGAAGCTATTCCGGTCATCGGCGCAGTGACAATTCTCTGTAGGTCGGTTTGGGTTGTTGAAATATCCTAAGCATCTGCCACACCGCTTCTCTCTTCTACCAACAGCGGATCCACTTTATAACCCGTACGACGCAAGATGACCAGTCGCAAGATGGTTCGAGCTGACTAGACGAGATGAGGGCGGTGGGCTCGTTGAGGGTGGGCTCGTTGAGGGTGGGCTCTGGAGCATGCTCCACGGTGGTCATTACTGTAGCACTGGTATCTGGGAAATAAAGGGTGGAACGGACGGGTGAGACGTGACGGCACTTTGACGATGGTGGCGATCTAGGGTCAGATGACCACTCTCCTCGCTGCCTTCCTTAAACGAGATGCTGCTGTCAGAGGAGAATAAGTGGCATCTCTCATTGCCCTCCACCTGAACATTCTCCTCAATGCATTCTTAAGTCGAGAGGCTGTTGTCGGAGTATAAGCGGGGACTGAAGAAGATCCATAGAATGCCGCCTCGGTAGCGGTCTCTCTCCACGCTCCATAAGTTATTAGTTTATAAATTAAATAATCTCAAGACAAGACGTAAGTGCCTTAATTGCACTTCAATTGATAGATTGTTATTAAAAGACAAGTCTTCATATTCCTGTCAATCTGGGCTCACTTTGATGACGAAAAGGGGCTCGATTTGGCGATGGAAACAGACTTAATTTCACAATGGAAACAGGCTTGATTTGCGAGAGAAAGAAGAAGCTTGATTTAATGGTAGAAATTGGATGCTGGTGGATTATGGGTATTAGTTAAAGCAACTGAAGCCTTTTTTCTTCCCGACAGAATCTTATATACGAAGTAAAGGGAGCAGCACACTTGCTGCTATCTGAAAGGATACTTCCTGGAATTCCAGGCCGAACCCAAATTCCGAATAGGAATCGCCAGACACAGTTGAGGTATATATATCCCCGTCTAGCCAAGGAAAAAATTTTTTACTCCTCCTTCTCGAGTTTATCAAGACATCAATTGAGCTTTCCCTCCTTGAAAGTAGCTATTGCACTCGTCTAATATTCGTCCTTTATCCTCTTTACTATTGCCAATTCAACATACACATAACGTTAATCGAAACGTCTCTTACACAATGTCTGCTAACAAGGCACCACCTAATTTCGAGCAGCCCAAATATTTTGACTATAACCCACAATCTCCTGGCTACGGACGCTTATGGTTTCTCGCCCAATATACCACTCCAGACGCTACGCATGTACCCTACTGTTGGGGATTTACTATCTACCGTGCAACTAAGGCTGTTGCTGGACAAGACCCCGAAGCCGATGCCCGTTTTGCTGAGGGTCTCCGCCGCTTTGAAGCTATAGTCTGCTGGTACTTTCTCTATACTAAAAAGGCCCTCGGCATCCGGGATACCAACACGGCGGGGCATATCGTAGCTGACCGGTTCTGGAATGAGATCATAGAAGACTATCCAGACCGCGAGGCTGTTGTGGCTGGTCTTGATGTGCCTAATGGCGCTGAGGATTTCTCTCCTGTTGGCCGCGCATTTATCGCCTCAGTAGCTGTGCATGGGAAACCTGAAATGACCGGACTACTTATACGCGAAAGGCTTCAGCTTATACGGAATACTAAGTGCCTAATCATCGATGACAAGTCCCTTGACACCCTCTTGACGCTGCCTAAAGAACCTCCACATACAGCACCTGAGGATACATTAGAAGCGTATAGGGTAGCCGGCGGTAACAGTGTATGGCTCTGGGTGCTCGACCTCGAAACAATGCAGGCGCGCGAGGATGGCAAGCCTCTCCTGAAGCTATCATACCAGGGTGCTGATGAAAAGCCGTACCCACCCTGGGCGCGGATGCTCGTCTCCTTTGTAGCAGGGAAGTGGTTCGAGCGCCCAGCGCTGCCAGAATCCGTCAAGTGGAGTGGTGAGTTAATTGAGGATAAGATAGAGTGGAAGACGGTGCTGTACTGGCATGCGGATCTGGTGTCATGGCAAAATGAGTTCCGCAGGAATCGCCGCAAGAATCAATCTTCAGAGTTAGGGCCTGGAGGGGAATAGTCGAGATTACTCAGTTGTAAGAGAGGAGAGGTAATATTAAATAATTGTAGAAGAAGCCATTAGTGCATTGACTAGATAGGAAGGAATTGGCCCTTCGCTGCCTTCTGTTTTATATTAGAAAGAGTAGGCCAATTCTATAGAAATTATCTTAGTAATTTCTTCCTTACTAAAATAGTTTCTATATTATAAACCTTAGTTAAAACTAGTTTTCATTTCTAAAA